GAACGTACTCTGCTGGTCATTACAGCGACGCCGGTTCTAAAGAGGAATCGATTGGACACAGCGGCCTCATTACCAGTCTGCTTCGGCAAATTCCCCACGCGACACCAATAAGGTTTATCATTTTAACCCACGTCTCCTATTCCACAAATATAATTTTTCTAAAAAATTTTTACCATACCTATGCGATAGAAGACACAAAACAATAATGATGAGTGACGTGTTACATATCAGACTTGTTTTGTGATTTTGCGCAAGAATATCGCTCGATGCATTCAATAGCTATTCATATATTATAGCAGATTTCTGAATCTTACGTCCGTGGTTACGTAAATCCCTTACTTTTATTACTAAATAAAATCAGACTATATAAGACTATATATATATGGATATATATATAGTGTAGAAACTATATAACAAAATTATAACAGTGATTCTAATTTTAAAACTTAAGGAGCAAACTGATAATAATGATAACTTATATCAATTAGATTTGATTAGATTAGCAAGCTAAATCTAAATTAATTATAATAATAAATAGTTATTTAATTTTATAGTCCAGTTTTGTATTAAGATTATCTTCACTATTATGATCATTTAAATTCAAATTATAAAATTTGTAAAATGTTATTAATTTGTAGATAGAGAGAGAAAAAAAAATCCTTTACTTCTAATACTTCCTCAAGTTAATTATATATTTATAATTAATAACAATAAAAATTAACAGCGTAACGTCTATTACATCGGCTTTTACACGTCATTTAGACATACTCTAATCCTATATATAGAATAATCGAAGAGAGAATATATATAATAGTTAGAAAAAAGAGAGAAAGACAGAACCATGCACTTTTAATCAAACTAATAATAAGGAAAAAAAAAAAAATTTTGTAAAGAAGGTAGATAAGATTGTTAGTATATATATATATATTTTTATAATTTTATATTTTATCCTTTTTTTTTTAAAGATTTTTAAAGGTTTTTTTTATTTTATAATATGATTATAAATAGTTGTATTTAGTAATATATCTATAGTATGAATTAACATTTGTTATAAGTTTGGATATTATGTTTTGAAACCCTAATGGTAGACCAGACATACACAAAAAACTTTAAATTGAAATAAATTGGAAAAAGAGATCTGCTGGACCGGGGATCTTCAGATAAAAGTCCAACGACATTTCACCCCTTCTTTATTATGTCATAGATCTCTTTTAAACCGGATTTTATGTTTTAATATTAAGTTGTTTCAGTGAAATATTTAAATGAACATATATAACAGATACAAGTGTTAACAAATTCAAACTGTAAACCTACCTCGACCGCGGCGTCCTCCATTGTGAATATCTATTTCTGGCTGACACATGTTGCGGGAGGGGGGGACATTTCAAATTTAGACCATTTATTCAGAATTTTTTTGAACAACAAGAAAATTAAAGAAGAAAGGAAAAATAGTTAAGGGAAGAAAGTTTAATTTCATAATCTTTACAGCTAGTTATATTAAAATAACTGATTCAACACCTATTCATCTTTTAATATTCCTTTAAAAAGGCAAATTATAAGAGTTTAATAAAGCTATTAATTGTGCAAATTCACCTTTATTTAACTTCCATTTTCCTCCCCAGAAATTGGAGATTAAACAAAATGAACTATATACTATAACACTTTAAAAATCTTGTGAAAAAATCTTTTAATCAGTTATTTAATCAAAGTTTAATTAACTGTTAAAGATTATAAATTTGCATTAGTTATTATTAAGAGAAATTATAGAAAGTTGAATTCATAAATGGATATTTCCATTTTTTTTTTTTTTAAATATTTTATAATTGATATACTGTTGAAATATTTTACTTGTTTGATACTAAATTTGTTTTTAATAAATTCCATGTTTAAATTTTTTACATCTTCTATGAAATTATCTAATATATTATTTATTCTATAAAATCTTAGAAACTGACCATAATATATACCTTTACAGCAATTTAATGATATATTAGAATTCATATTACAGTATTTTATAATATTGAAATTATAATTACTCTTTTTATTATAAACTCTAACAGCACTATTTGTAAGGTCTATATTCAAGTCTAAAAAGTTAACTTTTTTGTTTCTATAATTTTTTTCATTGTTCTTAAGTTTCAAGTATTTAGGATATATTTCAGGTATTAATTTTTTAAACTGTGGATTATTAAATATTATTATGTCATCTACATAACGGAATATTTGCCAATTAATATTATTTTGTAGAAAGTATTCTCTTTCGTACCAGAACAATATTAGATTTGCTAATAACGGACTAGAAGAAGTTCCCATGGGAACGCCTTCTGATTGAATATATATTTTATTTTTAAATTCTATATAGTTAAAATTTAAAAATGTTTCCAGTAGAGTTTTTGCTGTTTTAAGATCTAATTTAAATGTTTTATATCTGTTATGAATAATTTTAATGTAGAAAGTTTTGTCATTAATGAATTCATTAAATAAATTGGTTATTTTATTATTTAGATCTCTTAAATTTATTTTAGAATATAGGTCCTCAAAGACAAATGTGTGTACTGTTTCAATGTTTGTCCAATTGTTCATTAAATAATTAATGATTTTTTTATTTGAGTCGATAAATTTATAATTATATTTATTAGTTAATTCATTTATAATAAATTGTAGTGTTGAAGCTAATTGTATATCAATATTTTTTATGACTGAATTTATACCAGATGTGATTGTTCTGAAAGAAATAGGTTTTTTGTGTAGTTTAGGAATTATATAGAACTTTGGTATGTTTGGATTTTTGTGGTTATTATAAATTTTTAGTGAATTTTCAACATTTTTGATGTCTTTTTTGATTTTTGTGGCTGTAGTTCTAGCAAAAGTGTATTTATGATTATTATCAATTTCCTTTTTTAGTATATCGTGGTATAGATTTTTACAAATTAAAGATAAATTATTGGAACATTTATCTATAGGAGTGATAATATAGTCCTTCTGTAAATTAATTATATTTTCTTTAAAAGAAGGAATGTCTGAATTAGGTTTTGTGTATTTAAGTGTATTATTATAATAATTTATAATTTCCTTTTTAATATTATGTTTCCATTCCAGAAAAGTAAATTCTGGAATACTGTATTTTATACTAGTTTTATTTATGAAAATATCTATATCTTTTAATATAGATTTAATTGTATTATTATAATTGTGTTTAATTTGAGGTATATATTTATACCCTTGATATTCTGGATTTAAAAAAGAAAAATTGCTAGTTAATATATGACCTGAGAACTTATATTTATCAATATAGTTGTTGCAATTACATTTAATTTTTTTAAAATTTGCCAAATTATTAATAAATTGGTTATAATTGCAAACTAAATTACCTATATTTTTGTTGTATCTCCAGATTGTTTTGAAATTTAAATTTTTTATAGGGAAAAGATTATTGATGATTTGGTTATTAAAAATATCATTAAATTTAATATGATTAAATAAATTGTTATTAAATTTAATGATAATATTAATGTTATTAGTAGCTTGTTTAATTTTTCTGTATTTAAAGATGTCGTGTGTGATATCTATTAATCTGTTAGTCAGATTATGAATTTTAATATATTCTATGAGTTTGATAAATTTATTATTATTTAGTTTAAATAATGTTTTAATAAATTTATCGACGAAGTTGTTAGTGTACATTTGTTAAAATGAAAAGGAATCCTTAACAAAAGGAATACAACCCAATATTGTTTTTGTTTGTAAATAGATAATAACATCGTTAGTTGTATGTATGCAAAAACTGTTTGCTTTAAAAAATAATCAAAATAATAAATAATTTTTGGGACAAAAGTTATCATTCATTTTACCATCCACGACTGCATGAATTGGTAACGTAAATAGAATATACGTCCTTTTTTTATGACATATATATATGTATATATATGAATTTGTTTAGTTTCTCAAAATATTTAGTAGCGTAGTTATACCTGTGGAAGGGCTGTTACATTCGAAAGCTTGTATTGCCGTTATATATAAAAAGAAACTCTTGCCTCAGCGAATTGTCTTTTATTTATAATTAAATATTGTTCGCTACTTTTAGAGGTATTCCTGGAGAGGACCAACATCTAACCTTCCAATATCGAAAACAATAAATTTGCCAGAATCTGCACAGCATAAATTAGCTCTACTTCTAGAACGAAAGAACAAATTATGTAAAAATTGTCAAAGAACAACTCACACATCAATGCTGAGACCGATTTTCCTCTATGGTCACCCAACTTGCATTACATCATCTAAAACCAAATTAAAAAGATTTGAAACATTCGAAAAATGGCGTCATTAGAGAAATTGCACCATAGTTTGTTAGAAACACAATACTAGGAACGATCTCAGATTTGAAAATATCAAAGACGACATTTAACTTTTAAGAAAAACCTTAAAATTTGAAAATCCTACTTTTTCAAAGAAGTTACCAATTACAAATCCGAAATAAGAGTAAAAAAGAAATTTGAAACCGTAAAAAATTCTTTATCAACTAAGCCAAAGATATGAAAAGTGAGGGGGAAACCTCTTGAATATCCAACAAGGCAGAAGAAAAACTTTCCAATAACATGATCCCCAAAGATTAGAGATTCCGGACACCTAAAGACGCCAATCTAAATATCCAATTATGGGTGAAACCTTGGATATAAACTCCTCCACATGATTGTTGATATAATGACTTGGATTTCTATTTTTGAATGGCACCTAATAAAGTTATAACTGCAAACCCCTAATACATTAGTTTATAAACTTTTTTAAAATATATCCCTAGTACCCGTGGTACAGACCATTATAATCATGGTGGGTAGTTAGCAACTGCTTTTACTATAAGTGCACCACATGTCTACACATGTGAAAAGTAGTTCGATTTTTGCACTTAAAAATTTTCCAGAGCCCCGTGTGGTTATTTGCACTCACTGGTAGGCTTGGATTTTGGCAAGTATTTTTTAAAATTATTTTTATTAGAAAAAAAGTGCCCAATGCGGGATTCGATCCCGGGTCGTAGCGGTCGAAAACCCACGGTTCAGACCACCCTAAAACCGACCAGTTTATAAACTAAATGGCTACATCAACCATTTTTTATTTAGGTCTCAACTTTTCAGTGACTCGCTCTCACACTCTTCAGAGGAATGATTATTTTGATTCCAATATATATATGTTATATAAAAATATTATTTTATTTTAAATTATAATTTCATAGATTCAAATACTCTGCTAAATCGACCGCCAGAGGCCACTCTTCCTTTATAAAAATTCGTTGTTGTTTTATCCCAATGGCCGGCTCAAAACTTTTGTACATTATGTAAATAATATTTTGTTTTTCCTTATTCTACTCTCCTTAAGCCAGGCATTACTCTCATCAAATTGTTTATATATATATATTTAAAATAAAGAAGGCATCTCCTGACCACGAGCACATGTGCTTTTTAGATGCTCGTGGTCAGGAGATGCCTTCTTTATTTTTAATATCAACACCTGACCCACTTATCTTTTATTTTTTTCTATTGTTTTTCATATATATATATGTTATAAAAAAGACGTATATTCTAGTTACGTTACCAATTCATGCTGTCGTGGATGGTAAAAATGAATGATAACTTTTGTCCCAAAAAATATTTATTATTTTGATTATTTTTTAAAGCAAACAGTTTTTTTTTTGCATACATACAACTAACAATGTTATTATCTATTTACAATAAAAATAAAATTAGGTTATATTCCTTTTGTTAAGGATTCCTTTTCATTTTAATATTTAACTCTGTGATTATAGAATTTTAATTATTTTATGAATAATAAAAATCATATTTTTATTATGTCATATATATTCCATAAGTTCAATTAAAGCAATATCTTATCAAAACCATTTTTTATTATTCTTCTTTCAAGATTTTAACCACGACTGCATTGCCATGGCATAATCCACAAAATATCCTAAAATCAAGCAGAAAATCCAATCTTTTATTTTAAATATAACATATATATATATTTTTCTCTTATATTTCTACATAAGTATGAAATAGGATTCAAAATAATCATCTGAGGAGTCACAGAGAGCCACTGAAACGTCAGGAACTAAATACAAAATAAGCTGATGTAGGTATATATTTTTACAGACAAACTTCCACCAGCCATAGTTTCTAAAAGGTACTACTAATTTCTACAAGTAGTAAACATTGATGTTGAAAAAGTTTTGGGAAGACTTGACTTATTAGAAGAGAACCTTCCCAGCGATTTCGCCAATTGACCCATAATTCCAAAGCGGTTTGAGATAGAAACCCAAAAATTTGAATATCACTTTCTCTTGAGGACATAGCCAAACGATCCGAAAATTAAGTCTCAATTTCAAACAGGCTTTAAGTTGAAACTTTTTATAAGAGTTCCAACAACCCAGGAGTTATAGAACAGATGTCGGTTATCCTGAAGATAGAGGTTGCCTGACCGGCATTCATATTTCTATGAATAATTTCATAGAGATATCGGCTAGTCTAACATTGCAGGAGTTACAGAACAGATAGCCACTAAAGTCCAACTGACTCACTGACATCGTATTCATAGAATTGACCATTTCTGATATATATTTGCCTAAAAATATATTCAAAATTAGAATTTTACATAACAAAATATATTTTGTATGAAAAATTAATTATTTATATTTTACATTTTTAAAATTACTTACCCATATATATGAAATATTAATGCTTTCTCAGTAAGAATCTTAATTAGCGAAGTTGGGGAAATTATTCTCATGCATATTAATTGTGCAGACGATTTTTTTAGAATTTTTATCAAGAGATTTTTTGAATTAATCAAACTTTTTTTAACTTCAGTAGATGATTTTTTTTTATTTAGAAAATATATTTTAGCTTTAGTTTCGCACTATATTTATATAACACATTAATTACTTTTAGAAATAACTAATAATAATAATAATGGTAATAATTTTTCTACAGATTTATTTTCACTTTGACTCTTTATTTTACATCAAGTTCGTTTCATAAACGTGAAAATACTTTAAGCATGTACAATTTATAGAATATTATTTTTGGTATTTTGCTCATCATTATGTTCAACAATAACAATATACATAGTAACACAGATCTTTTTATCAGTGAATTTTAGGAATTAAAAAAATAATTATTTATTATATATAAAAGGGGGGGGGGGGGGGGGGGGATCGGTGGAGGAAGGTTGGTCTAAACCGTTGGTTTTCGACCGCTACGACCCGGGATCGAATTCTGTATTAGGCACTTTTTTCTAAATATATTTTTAAATGCTCTAATTGACCCCGATTCTTGCAAAAGTCCAATCCCACCAGCGAGTGCAAGTAGCCAAACGAGGCTCTGACACATTTGTAAGTGCAAATGTCGAACTGCTTTTCACATTTGTAGACATGTAGTGCACTTACCGTAAAAGCAGTCGCCAACTTCTACCCACCATGATTATCATGGCCTGTACCACGTGTACTAGGGATAATTTGCAAAATTATATATAAAATATACGGTATATCCTATGTGGATATTTGCGTGTAAATGTTCAATTTTTTTATATACATAGTTTCAAAATATATAAACAAATTATTTTTAGTATTAGAGAGTGAAAATTATAGCGATATTATTTAATTTTTAATGAAGATTTTATATCCTGTTATTTACCATTATTATTAAACAAATTATCATTCATCTTCAAAACATGTTCGTTAATAATTTAAATTAATATATCGAAGCATTTACTCTGATTTAATTATTTTGATACAAAATTGACCATTTTATAATAATTAAAAATGTGTTTACAAGTTTCTCCATATTTATTTAAAAAATAAAAAGATGATTATTTTACAAACATGATATACTAAAATGATTAGATTTTTATCTTTCGTCTATGTGAAATTATTTTTTAATTTCTCTTTCCTATTTTTAATGATTGCAAATTCAAATCAACTATAATCACAAGTATATTGTAATTAAAATAATTATCAATTTAATATTAAAAAGTAATTCTGTTATGGAATAAATTTATAAACACAATATTTTAAAATATAAAATATCCATATTTGTTTTAAAAAATAAAAATAAACATAAATAAAGAAGTCTGTCCATAAATAAAAGAGTAGTTTTTTAAGTAAAGGGATTTTTTTTTATCAAGGAGTTTATTTTTTATTGTGGCTTAGGAAGGAAGTTGTGAATGTAAGCCTGCGCTCGTAGAATGAGTGGGGGTTGAGGACTCCTCAATGAAGGAGCTAAGCCAGCCCCTTTGTCACACGCCGGTCGGAAGTGGAAGATGATGGATGACGCTGCGTAATTGCCGGGACAGCATTCGGGGAACCCATTCACTCTCCACACGACCTGATGATGTGACCACACTTCAACCAAATATACATTCTAATTGTTATCTTGTAAATAAATAGTCTTATTTTATCTTTATATATATGAAAAAATAGTACAAATGTGTTATTGTACTGGGATAAGGGTCATAAATTAATAAAAGAAAAATAAAAGGCATCTCCTTATCGGGCAACCGAGAGTTACTGATGACTTTGCGCCATTTATTTTCTTAATAAATACATTTAAAAAAATAAATTTTCATTCTTTTTACCTTTAAAAGTTTAATAAAAGGTTAACATGGTTCTGTCTTTGCTCTTTTTCTTATCCTAATACCTTCAATTCTTCCTTTTTTTCCCCTATGTTCTGCTATTATGACGCGAAACTGCCGAATATACAGCGTGAACTTGTTATAGCCCTATGTTGTCACATAAAATACAAAACCTTTTTGAAACCTTAAAAATAATATTTATCTAATTTCTTTTTAATTATCAATACTCCTTCTCTTATACCAATTATCTTTCAAATATTATAGATATAACTCTACATATATATTGTAGCATATATTGCTTGATTTTTTTAAATAAAAAAAGGATTATGATTTTTCACTGTCAGTATTTTAATACGCGATATTCCAAACTCAGGGATATTTGCTTCAATACATTTCTTTACATCATAACAAATTGTCTATATACAAGGAGAAAGGTCAAGGAGAAAAAAGACAAACATACAAAAGCAATTCCCTCAAATTCAATGCCAACTTCAAATGATAAATACAATGTAAGTAACTTTGTATTTACCCAGTTTTAGCTATTATCATCTTACCAACCTCTCAGAAACTATAAATCTTTCGAATTCGAAAGAATATCAAGGATAGCACAATTTAATGGACATAGATTCCTTATAAAAACTCGTTTCAAAATGTTTATCTGCAAAAGCATAATGGTATACGCACGTTTCAAAGAAATTTGCTGGTGATTTTTTCTCATTTTTAAATTGTTTTTTTTTTTTTTTAAGAAAAAAAATAATAATAAGTCGGCGCTGACAATCTTCCTTCTTATATAATATTCATTAATTTTATTCGTATTAGTTTTACTTTGTGTCTTATTTATACATTTCTATTTTTGCAAACTATTCTCTATTTATACGTAATAATCTCTCCTAATGCAACTTTTTTTTCATCATTCTTATTATCTTTAAACAACCTTAGCTTATCATTCACTACCAATCCCCCTCTCTACTGAATGACCGACAGTCTAGTGTTTATATATTGGTCTACCATTAGCGTAGGGATTGTCTGATTGTAATAGGATTTGGTTTAGAGTGTTGGGCCAAGAAGTCTAGGCGGTATCTCTTGCTCCAAATAGTATATACAGTAGAACCTCCATGAGAGGACACCTGGACTAGAGGACACCTCTCTACAAAGGACAGTTTTCATTTTCAAAATTACCATTTTTACTATGTAAAATGTACATCGACCATTGATCTGAACGTCAGAGCAAATGCAGAGCTACTGATATAGGCAGTCCTCTGTTATCATCAAACCTATAAATAATGCATCAACTCTCAAATCAATATAGTAGTATCAAAGGCTTCAATAGATGTCAATAGACTTTGGTGAAGCAACTTTTATTAAATTTACTATAACCCGAAGAAGATAAAGCAATGAAATTAATGTGCAATCACCAATAGATGCTACGGTGCTGTTGTTTATTGGCCTTAGACAATTGACAATTAAAATAATTTT